CCACCCCACACACACACACGGGGCTGGCATACTCCAGGAGAGGACGTATGAAAGTCAAGGAAATCTGGATCAGTGCTTCAGTAGGGAGTCCAACCTTCTTCGCGGCGGAAAGGTAGTAGCCCCGAGAACGGGACTTTTTCACCATGTAGTGTACATGTACATCCCAGGTGAGAGTGGCAGCGATATGCACTCCTAAGAGTTTAAAGGAAGTAGTCCTTTGTATTTGGAAGTAGTCTGCTATAGTTGGGTGTGGAGGAACTGGGACGTTAGCCTCCTTCCGTGCGCTAATAACCATATCCATGGTCTTCTTGCCGTTTACTCCGAGGGAGTAAGACTCTCCCCATTCCACGATGGAATCTAGTGCTTTCTGAGTTTCCTCGGGAAGAGAGGCCATTAGTAGTCCAGATGTTAAATCTGCTTTTTTGTTGTCATATAGGTTTTCATGTCATTTCAGCTGTTCAGGGTTGAAAGGGGGGGGGGCACTTCTCGATGTTTGGGCAGAATCCACGCATGGTTCAACTGTATAGGATATTTTTTTTTACTTTGGTCTAAATGGAGATGCTGGACTACCCTGCCAACGTATGTTTTCAAGGTCTAAGATTCAAGTATATGATTTTTGACCACGTTGTTCTGACATACTTGTTATTCCCAGTATTAACATAGGAAAGTCAATAACTGTGCTGTAGGTTCACCGGTATCAGTTCAATAGTCAAGTTTCTGTTGACGCTATGTTTGGATGGTTTCGTCATGGCAACGGTGCCGTTAAGTATTTCCGTGTTGGCTGCCATACAATGTGCTACTGGTGCTTTAAGCACACAGCCTTTTGTATGTTCAGATGCATGGCCAAAACCATTAAACAAAAGGCGGGAGGAACAAAACTATAAAAAAAACACCACCAAACCGTTTGACTTGTAGCATATCCTACAAGTGGCGTCGTGTGGTGCAGTGGATATCGAGTGATTGCCATATCCTACAAGAAAACTAGGATCATAACCTGTGTATTGATCTGTCATTTCCAATAAAGAAAGAAAGAAAGAAGAAAGAAACTAGCTAGGCACAGAGAAGTGACTGTGGTCAATTTTACTTTAAAAATGTTGCTGAACACACCCAGACTACCCTAACCTACATACATACCTCCTACCTACCTACCTACCTCTTACTCCTCCCGTAAGGTACTGCCGATTACCACGGTCCTTTTAATTAAGATAAAATGCAATAATTTTTAATCATACAGAAACCCATACTTGATCCCGACTTCTCTCCCCCTCAGGGCGCACTCCTCAGCCTGTGTGAGGTTACCGGGCTGTGCCTGTTGACGGTCCGGGTCATGCCGTCTGTCACCCCCGCCCTGAGCGTGGTTCTGTCCAACGGCGTCATGTTCATCCCCATCGTCAGCCACATCATAAAACAGACAGTCGGTCTGTGCAGGCAGAAGAAAAGCCGAAAGTGTGGACGTGTTTTTCTTGTCGTGTTGTGGGTTGTCGGAGGTCTGACGTGTGGCGGACTTGTCGGTGTCTGGAGTTATTTCAGAAAGCAGAAGTACGTGGTAGAAACGGTTGTCTCGCTGTTTCTTCTATCCGCTGCCTGGGCTCCGAAACTACAGCAGTATCAAGCTGAAGGATGTCGCCCAGCCACGTCGTCACAACCAGATCATACCCAGAACTCGAGATGGAAAGCAGGAATTCTGAACAATTTCTTCAAACTTGTTTTAGTGCTGGTGGTCCCTGACGTGATGAGGTATGCTGGAGTACTAGATGTGTGTTCTGACTGGGTTTGGACCTGTGCAGACGTTTACGCGCTCTTCACGATTCACCACCCGGCTACAGTCAGCTTTGTCCTCAATGTTACCGCAGGTTTTGTGGGTTACATCCTGGCATGGATGGCATGTGCTTTACGAATGGGCTACTTTGGATTCGCCTTGCCAGCCTTTCTCAGCACCTTGGTTACAGGTAAGTTGTGACAAAATGACATTCAGTATAAAATGGCATCTTCTCACATTTCTTTTTCTTTCTATTTGTCGAAATTAGTAAAAAAAAGGGAAATTTCAGACAGCTGGGTGGCCCATGCAATTCCGACAATTTGATTTTCAATGGAGCCTAGACTACAGAGTATTCAAAAATCAAAAATAAAATATCGTCAGACACAAATGACACATGTACAAATAACCGAAAGTACAAACAAAAACTGCTCAACATACACGAATAAGCTAAAATGGTATCGCGGAAAACTTGCATTTTTTAAATATACCACTCATGTAAACCGTGACCAAGGCCGTCACCGACTACCCCCCCCCCCATCTACAACACACTCGTCCAGTCACGTGAACTGTGCTGACCTTTCAACCTTGGGTCACGTGACTGCCTCGTCATTAGCTGAAGAAAGATAGTGGATCCCGTCTGAAAGCTCCTACGCTTACAGAACTTTGTTGTGCGTAACAATCCTTCCTTTTAATACCACTCATATATTTTCAGCAATTGTTATTTTCATCAAACAAATCTGCACACGACTGAGCTTCTTCCATGAAGAGACGTGTGTGGATGACTACACGGTCTGGGACACAGGGACGTGTCTGGGGCTGCTGCTGGTCCAGTTCTTCTCCACCACGTGGTTCGTCATGAGGAGTCCAACTATCGTCATGGAGCAGGAAGCACAGGTCGGTAGAATGGATGAACCGTGCCTATCCTGTTTCGCCATCTATCCCCGTTAAGCTTTGGTCCAAATTGGAAAAAGGGGCCCTGCCGGGTAGTCTCCGGGCTGGGTTTTTTTTTTGCACTTTCGGGCGTGACCCCTACGTGGCCCGGCGGGACACCCTGTGGTAACCGGATTTTTGGGGGGGGGCCGGCGGGGACCCGAGAAGAATTTAATTCTAACTTAAATTCTACCCGGGCCCCGCTGACATAAAGACGCCGTAACCTAATCGTGAGAACACCGACAGGTAACCCTCCGGTTGCCGGCAGTCCTCCGGGACTAATTTTGATACGTCACAGACCAGATTCACAGAATAAGGGTGTGTACTTCGGAAGACGTCACAGATCAGATGATCACAACAAAAGCGTGAACTCTTAAGGGTGACAAATAATAAGGGTGACAAATTGCTACTGAAGGAAACTTTTGATTGTGACCACGACAGTCGATGCTCGCCTGTCTCCTGAGCCCGACCGGCAACCGGCCGGGGCTACATCCCCGACAGGCACCCGCGCAATTGGGACCGAAGATTTAGACAAAGCGTTCTTCACAGACCTGTGTGGTGGCGGCATTAATTTTAGGGCGAGGGACGCTAGTTTTGCCGCGGAGAGATTTTGCCGAGGAGAGTCAGCGAAACGTACCCTTCGTGGTAAAACTCGCGTCGCTTCCCCTAATAGTAATGCCGCCGCCGCCGCACAAGTCTGCGAAGAGGTGTATATAGGTAAAGCTTAGGTCACAATTCAAGAAAGGGGCCCGCTCGGCGCGTGTTCGGCGTGTTTTTTGGCACTACCGAACGGGACCTGGACGGAGACCGGCGGGCTTCCCGACGGCTGCCGGCCTATTTTTGGCCCCGCGCGGTCGCCGAATCGATTTTAACTCAGAGTTAAAATCACTTCGGGCCCCGTTCGGCGACATACGCCGAAGCGACGCCGTAACCTCACTGCCCGGAGCCCGTCGGGCGGCCGAACAGGCACCTGCCTAAGATTATGACGTCACATGTGCTGATCAGTGCATCAGATGGTCAGGAAAAGGGGGTTATAGGGAGCATATATAAACTCCTGCCTCAGACTACGTCGCACAGTTCACCACGTGTGTGTTACATCGTGTACTTGTGTGTGTTACACCTTGTATTTGTGTGTCAGAATGTCGAAGGGCAAGGGAAAACAGCCGGCACGGCTCTCTT